AGATTTAAAAACTATACAATTTGAGCCAAAAACTGAAGAAATTTAGCCGTGCAGCACATTAATGTAGGTTAGATTCCCATTCACATTCAGACTACTATATTTATCCCACTGGGGCCATTCATATGAGCAGCACAGGGCATAAAAACATAAAAAGGCAGTAACATAAGCGATATGATATGAAGTGGAGCCCATACAAACATAGCAACACAATACAACAATACAAGTCCAAACACACACCAAAGTCCAGAGTTCGGCAGTTTAATAACAGAAGTATATGTGGCTTTGAGAATGAGGAGTCGAATACTGTTACTACAAAGCAGGTTGGGGGATTGGCTTGTTATTACGACTTCAAATTGTAAACACTGAAAACATTTACAGCTGAAAGTCTGATCTACTGTTTGAAACCTAAACATTGTATTAGAAAGAAGAACAGACACAGCCTCTCAAACACACATCAATATGGTCTGTCTCTCTCTCTCTCTCTCTGGTCCCTCTCTCTCCAGTCTCTCCCTCTCTCTCCGGTCTCTTCCAGTCTCTCCCTCTCTCTCCGGTCTCTCCCTTTCTCCGGTCTCTCTCTCTCTCTCTCCGGTCTCTCTCTCTCTCTCTCTCTCCGGTCTCTCTCCGGTCTCTCCCTCTCTCTCCCTCTCTCTCCCTCTCTCCCTCTCTCTCCCTCTCTCCCTCTCTCCGGTCTCTCCCTCTCTCTCCGGTCTCTCCCTCTCTCTCCGGTCTCTCCCTCTCTCTCCGGTCTCTCCCTCTCTCTCCGGTCTCTCCCTCTCTCTCCGGTCTCTCCCTCTCTCTCCGGTCTCTCCCTCTCTCTATGAAATGTTGAACCACTGTCTTTTGAACAACAAAGTAACTGTATCTTTATTAAAGACTCTAGATCCTATTTACGGACAAGACAAAAACATTTATGAATGAATGAGTTATTCTACATCGGGTCAACACGGAACAAGCTAAGAATAACGGGCTGTGATGACATTCCAACAGTAAGATGCTAGAGCTGCTGTTTGGATGAGCCAGTGACCATTTCAAGGCATTTGTCAAAAATACACAGAAGGAAACGGAAACTTTGACGCCTCTGAATGACACTCCCTCTGTTTGTCTCCAGCCCTGCAGATCTGCCTCGGCCTCAAGAGTTTGGCTTCTGCGCTCTGGAGCATATAGACAACTGGTGCAGAGAAGGATGGAAGGCTGCTCTGGGGATAAAGTTACCTCCCAATGCGTGGCCTGAATGCGAGCTCTCGTGTTCAATGAGACGTGCACAGATTTGTTTTTCTGTCTTCAAATCGGTGCATAAACTCTGCTGCACAACGCTAATGCATCTAGACTAGTTTATAGGCAAGGCAGGGCACGTTTTTTTGTATAGCACAATTCATACACAAAGCAATTCAAAGAGCTAAACAGAACAAGATAGAAACAACCACACAAGAAATTATATCATGAATAATAAGTGTCTCCCTCTCTCTGTCCGTCTCTCTCTCTCTCTCTCACGGTCTGTCTCTCTCTCTCTCTCGGTCTGTCTTTCTCTCTCGGTCCGTCTCTCTCTCTCTCGGGCCGTCTCTCTCTCTCGGTCCGTCTCTCTCTCTCGGTCCGTCTCTCTCTCTCTGGTCTGTCTCTCTCTCTCGGTCTGTCTCTCTCTCTCGGTCTGTCTCTCTGGTCTGTCTCTCTCTCTCTGGTCTGTCTCTCTCTCTCTCTGGTCTGTCTCTCTCTCTCTCTGGTCTGTCTCTCTCTCTCTGGTCTGTCTCTCTCTCTCTGGTCTGTCTCTCTCTCTCTGGTCTGTCTCTCTCTCTCTGGTCTGTCTCTCTCTGTCTCTGGTCTGTCTCTCTGTCTCTGGTCTGTGTCTCTCTGTCTCTGGTCTGTCTCTCTCTCTCTCTGGTCTGTCTCTCTCTCTCGGTCTGTCTCTCTCTCTCGGTCTGTCTCTCTCTCTCGGTCTGTCTCTCTCTCTCTCTCTGGTCTGTCTCTCTCTCTCTGGTCTGTCTCTCTCTCTCTGGTCTGTCTCTCTCTCTCTGGTCTGTCTCTCTCTGTCTCTGGTCTGTCTCTCTCTGTCTCTGGTCTGTCTCTCTGTCTCTGGTCTGTGTCTCTCTGTCTCTGGTCTGTCTCTCTCTCTCTCTGGTCTGTCTCTCTCTCTCGGTCTGTCTCTCTCTCTCGGTCTGTCTCTCTGGTCTGTCTCTCTCTCTGGTCTGTCTCTCTCTCTCTCTGGTCTGTCTCTCTCTCTCTCTGGTCTGTCTCTCTCTCTCTCGGTCCGTCTCTCTCTCTCTGGTCTGTCTCTCTCTCTCGGTCTGTCTCTCTCTCTCGGTCTGTCTCTCTCTCTCGGTCTGTCTCTCTGGTCTGTCTCTCTCTCTGGTCTGTCTCTCTCTCTCTCTGGTCTGTCTCTCTCTCTCTCTGGTCTGTCTCTCTCTCTCTGGTCTGTCTCTCTCTCTCTGGTCTGTCTCTCTCTCTCTGGTCTGTCTCTCTCTCTCTCTGGTCTGTCTCTCTCTGTCTCTGGTCTGTGTCTCTCTCTCTCTGGTCTCTCTCTCTCTCTCTCTGGTCTGTCTCTCTCTCTCTCTCTGGTCTGTCTCTCTCTCTCTCTCTGGTCTGTCTCTCTCTCTCTGGTCTGTCTCTCTCTCTCTCTGGTCTGTCTCTCTCTCTCCATTTTGAACAAATGATATGAATGTTTGCTTCCTGGTCTGTGTCTCTGGTGTGTCTCTCTCTGGTCTGTGTCTCTCTGGTCTGTGTCTTTCTGGTCTGTGTCTCTCTGGTCTGTGTCTTTCTGGTCTGTGTCTCTCTGGTCTGTGTCTCTCTGGTCTGTGTCTCTCTGGTCTGTGTCTCTCTGGTCTGTGTCTCTCTCTCTCTCTCTCTGGTCTGTCTCTCTCTCTCTCTGGTCTGTCTCTCTCTCTCTCTGGTCTGTCTCTCTCTCTCTGGTCTGTCTCTCTCTCTCTGGTCTGTCTCTCTCTCTCTGGTCTGTCTCTCTCTCTCTGGTCTGTCTCTCTCTCTCTGGTCTGTCTCTCTCTCTCTGGTCTGTCTCTCTCTGTCTCTGGTCTGTGTCTCTCTCTCTCTGGTCTCTCTCTCTCTCTCTCTGGTCTGTCTCTCTCTCTCTCTCTGGTCTGTCTCTCTCTCTCTGGTCTGTCTCTCTCTCTCTCTGGTCTGTCTCTCTCTCTCTGGTCTGTCTCTCTCTCTCTCTGGTCTGTCTCTCTCTGTCTCTGGTCTGTGTCTCTCTCTCTCTGGTCTGTGTCTCTCTCTCTGGTCTGTATCTCTCTGGTCTGTGCCTCTCTCTGGTCTGTGTCTCTCTCTGGTCTGTGCCTCTTTCTGGTCTGTGCCTCTTTCTGGTCTGTGTCTCTCTCTGGTCTGTGTCTCTCTCTGGTCTGTGCCTCTCTCTGGTCTGTGCCTCTCTCTGATCTGTGTCTCTCTCTGGTCTGTCTGCCTCTCTCTGGTCTGTGTCTCTCTGGTCTGTGTCTCTCTGGTCTGTGTCTCTCTCTCTGGTCTGTCTCTCTCTCTGGTCTGTCTCTCTCTGGTCTGTGTCTCTCTCTGGTCTGTGTCTCTCTCTGGTCTGTGTCTCTCTCTGGTCTGTGTCTCTCTGGTCTGTGTCTCTCTGGTCTGTGTCTCTCTGGTCTGTGTCTCTCTGGTCTGTGTCTCTCTGGTCTGTGTCTTCTGGTCTGTGTCTGTTGTGTCTCTCTGGTCTGTGTCTCTCTGGTCTGTGTCTCTCTCTGGTCTCTGTCTGTCTCTCTCTCTGTCTCTCTGGTCTGTCTCTCTGGTCTGTGTCTCTCTGGTCTGTGTCTTTCTGGTCTGTGTCTCTCTGGTCTGTGTCTCTCTGGTCTGTGTCTTTCTGGTCTGTGTCTCTCTGGTCTGTGTCTTTCTGGTCTGTGTCTCTCTGGTCTGTGTCTCTCTGGTCTGTGTCTTTCTGGTCTGTGTCTCTCTGGTCTGTGTCTTTCTGGTCTGTGTCTCTCTGGTCTGTGTCTCTCTGGTCGTGTCTCTCTCTCTCTCTCTCTGGTCTGTCTCTCTCCAGTCCAGTATGCACAGCTAAACATAACTGTTTTTAACCTGGATTTGAACAGAGATGAAGCCTGTCTCACATCTTCAGGAAGACTGTTCAAGATGTTAGCTGCATGAATCTGAAATGCGGCCTGCCCATGTTTAGTTCTGACTTATACACTGGCTCTGTCTCCATTGCAGGAGTAACAAAGCTAGTGCTAGCCCTGGGAGCTACAATAGCGGTCGCTAGCAAAACATCTTAAGCAATTACTAGCAGAAGCAAAAACCATCACCAGGGTTATTCACAAAACAAATAATAATCATAATTGTTCATTGTGCATACATCAAAGTGTTTAGCTAACCTCGTATATGTAATATGGAGTGTGTTGAATGAAGGCAGGGCTGGGACACCGGTATGACTGAATCCCAATGCTTTTATATAAACGATCAGAATCTATGAGAGATCCTTTATTCGTACAGTGGGGAAATGTCAGTGTTGCATCACGCAGTTACAGAGCAGTAGGAATGAGGATCACACAGCAATACAGCACAGGATATGATAAATCAACACAGCTCTATATATACACTAAATAACTATATAAAATAAAATAAAATTTACATCAAATGCAATCTCTAGCTTTGGCATCACAGGGAAGCAGTCTATAATCTATAATAAAGGAGCAAGAATTAAAAGTATAAATTGTCTGACTTTAGCATACGCTGTAGTGAACACGTTATGGCCCAATGAAGGCTAGTGGCATTGAGTTCATAGGAATAAATAAAAATAATAAAAATACAACAATATACGATATTTAGACTGTGGTAGGCTGAATATAGACAGTGTGTGTGTGGGTTGTTTTATTTATTTTTATTTTCAACATAGTGGAAACCTCAGCACACCAGGCCCAGCTATTAGACACACAGACACATACGTAGAACCATCACGTTTTTTACGTTATTCGCCATCATATCATTGGCTGTGTCCCTGGTTCGGCTTTAACTCTAATAGATCTAGGCTTGCAGGGGTGCAGCTTTGTGTTAGCAGCTCTTACCTTGCTTGCTCTCTATTTTCCCCGACATTTTCGTAGCCAGCAGCTGTGATCCCACTCTCAATTCAACAAAACGCTGCCGTGCGTCGCCCTCTTTATTATTCCATGTTTGGGTTGTTCTGTCGCGACCAGAACCGAACCAGAGCCAGCGTCGAGGTGTCGTCTCTGCGGGCGACACACATCGGTACGATATGGAGGGGGAGAAAAGCCGTGTCTCTCAGTCTGTCTTTGGCCAATTTCGAATGGATCCACACAACATAGTCGCTGCTAATGTCTTGAACCTAGACTTGAGGCTTTTCAACAGCGCCCCCCCGCGGTAGGAATGTCAGACAGTGCGCTGACAACAAGGGGATGGGCGTGTTTCCAATTGGTTTGTGTGCGTGTGCGTGTGTGTGCATGTGTGCGTGTGTATGAAGGATGGTGTGGACTGGGATCGATTTATTATTGCCTTCAAATCGCATCCCCATACCTTCTAAACTGTCTACAAGCACGGATATATATTTATACATAAAAAAACCATTAAAAAACATACATAGGCTAATAAAGAAACACCTTCACCCACTGCTTTATCTAATACATTTTAATTCTGAAAGTATAAGACAATTAATCTCCCAATTTTACATTTACAAAAAAAATGAATTTGTCTTTCATGTGATTGTGTTGTTGGACGTATCTTACTCTATGCTCGCCTTGCTTTTCAAAAACAAGTGCTCACACAAACTTATTTATGGTGATTAGAAGCAGCAAGTGACTGATTATAGCTTGTTTTTGAAGTCGCTAATACAAGATTTTAGGCATTACACTAAAAAAAACAAGGACACGGAGCCCTCTGCTGGACAAAGAGGGAATGACGACTGGTCTGCTGGACTTTTTGTTTTTAGTCCTAATAAGCAAACACCATATCATTATTGTTATCATTTCCATTTAATTTCAAACTGCCAATAACGTGGTATAGGGCCTGTGTGTTGCTTATTTACTCGGTCGGAAGAGCTCATGCCTCACAGCCAGATAGTCGAAGGTTCAATCCCTGGACTGGGGCTTTCTGTGTGATGCAGTTTCTCCCCATGCATTTCAGGGAGAGCTTCTTCTCACATCTACTCAAAACTTGCACACAGTAAATCCTCCAGCTAAAGAGGCATCCTGAGTAACCCTGGCTCAACATCTAGGTCCTGGGGCAATGCACTGAAGCTCGGACTAAAGAGAAAGGACTAAACATGGGGAGGTGTATGCCCATTTCTAAACATGCACAGGAGGCCTCAACTCTGGCATTAAGTCCAGGCTGAAAAACGATTCTCTTTTACCTTGTTTTATTTACGTACTTGTCTGGGGCACACTGGGGTCTTTTACACATGCATTCCAATGTGGTTTGACTGCAAATAGCAAACAAAATGAATCCAAATCTGAAATCTGAGTTTTAATTTTGACATTAACTGTTGTTTTTCTGTTATGATTGTTTGTTTGTATTTTTTTGTAAAGCACTTTGAGTTACACTACAGGAATTATTCTTTATAAATAAACTTGATAGATAGATTTATATCACTTCTTGCACATGACCTGTAATAGTTTGACAATATAGCAGCATGCATATATACACAGTTGGCTACAGTTAACGAAGTAAAACTGTACACATATCTGCTCTCATTACGACATTGTCAAAGAGCAATGACAAAAATTCATAATAATAATAATAAACAACCTCTGCTTATAGACCCCACCTCTGAATGTCCAGCTGTCATTAAAGTCAATGGGCCATATTTGCTCACGCTGTTCCTCCTCCTCCACGCAGCAGCAGAGGCCCCACCCATTCTGTAAAGTGCAAAGTATGCAGCCGTCGTGTGTTGTGTGGGTGTGTGTCTACAGCACAGAGCAGAGCTGATTTACCTTCCCTGAGGCTATGATAAAGTCAGAGAGTCAGAGAGGAGGCAGTGTAGAGAGAACGTGTCAGGACAGAACCACACGCTGTAACTTTACGCACTGATCACAGGCAGATGGTGTAATTCAGACAAGAAAAAAAAAAGTGTGTGGAAAGAGTTAATTGTTGCTTAGTTGTGTGGCAAATCCAGCGGAGGTAATTCTAATCTGTAAGAAGAAGAATGATACATGCGCAAAACAAGCAGTGGGAAAAAATGTATTGTGTCTGAAAAAATTCAGTGTCCAAAAATTCGTCCACAGTGTGCACCAGACAAATGTAAAAAATAAAACAATCAACAAAAACAGTTTTAATACAAGTGCAAGATCATTACCGTGCTTTGTTCAAACTGATAACAGAAAGAGGCTGTTAGCATATCCAGATGTCCTGTGTCTCAGCAAATGAATGAACGAATGAAAGAAGCTTATTTCGGTCACTTTTACCTAAAATTTTACCTATTGTTACAGAACAGAACATTTACAGCTGAAAGAAAGACAGAAAAGGAGTAGGCTGATGCTAATGCTTATTTGGCCTACCCTTTTTTACAAGTGCAAATAGTATAAGTGAATGTATACAATAGGATACAATAGAAAAATGGACGAAAAGGACGAACAATATCTTCTGCCAGAGGGAAGAAGCTGGAACATGGCTTTCCCAGGAGCCAGAAGAGTCAGTGATTATTTCAAGAGCTCGGTTTAAGAGTCTGTAGTCATAAAAATCCAGACTCCCATATGGATTCATGAGAGCCTCCAGAACAGGCAGCTCACAGACTTCAGAATGAACTAAATCCGTTTTCAAAGAATTCTCCTCAACACTTTTACACAGTGCACTCTTTATTATCTTTGCATAAGGGGAATGATCTTCTGCATTTGGCCATCTTTCCAGTTAGGGTCAGGGTTTCCAGTGCCTCTACCTCAGGAGCAGTGTCCAGGTGTTGATGCGTGGCTTAGTCTGAGTTTAAAAAGGTCTCATTGTCCTAGTTCTAAATGAGGATACGCACAAAGGAGAACAAACCTCAATACAATACATGAAGGTTCCGCAAACACTGGACAACAATATACAGAACAATTAATGCCACAAGCGGCAAACAACACATTGCAGTTTATGGAGACACTTTGGTACATATACAAGCGGCAAAATTATACACAAAAATCAAGCCACACAATTTTCCACAGTTTCACTATGTGTTGGAATATTTACAATTTCAATAACTATTTACACTTTTATTTCTATTTACAATTTGTCGGCTTGAAATGGAGTGGGAAAGATACCACAAGTAATTAGCAATCCAGGATCAATGTCCCATCAAGAGTCCCAGCAGGAGGCCGGTCCCTGTGCTCCTCAGAGTCCCAGCAGGAGGCCGGTCCCTGTGCTCCTCAGAGTCCCAGCATGAGTCCGGTCCCTGTGCTCCTCAGAGTCCCAGCAGGAGGCCAGTCCCTGTGCTCCTCAGAGTCCCAGCAGGAGGCCGGTCCCTGTGCTCCTCAGAGTCCCAGCCGGAAGCCAGTCCCTGTGCTCTTCAGAGTCCCAGCAGGAGGCCAGTCCCTGTGCTCCTCAGAGTCCCAGCAGGAGGCCAGTCCCTGTGCTCCTCAGAGTCCCAGCAGGAGGCCGGTCCCTGTGCTCCTCAGAGTTCCAGCAGGAGGCCGGTCCCTGTGTTCCTCAGAGTCCCAGCAGGAGGCCAGTCCCTGTGCCCCTCAGAGTCCCAGCAGGAGGCCGGTCCCTGTGCTCCTCAGAGTCCCAGCAGGAGGCCAGTCCCTGTGCCCCTCAGAGTCCCAGCAGGAGGCCAGTCCCTGTGCCCCTCAGAGTCCCAGCAGGAGGCCGGTCCCTGTGCTCCTCAGAGTCCCAGCAGGAGGCCGGTCCCTGTGCTCCTCAGAGTCCCAGCAGGAGGCCAGTCCCTGTGCCCCTCAGAGTCCCAGCAGGAGGCCGGTCCCTGTGCTCCTCAGAGTTCCAGCAGGAGGCCGGTCCCTGTGTTCCTCAGAGTCCCAGCAGGAGGCCGGTCCCTGTGCTCCTCAGAGTCCCAGCAGGAGGCCAGTCCCTGTGCTCGTCAGAGTTCCCGCAGGAGACCGGTCCCTGTGCTCCTCAGAGTCCCAGCAGGAGGCCAGTCCCTGTGCTCCTCAGAGTCCCAGCAGGAGGCCAGTGCATGATCTGAGAGTGTGTGTCTCTCTTGAATAAAACCACTTTTATACAGATTTTAACAGACAGTGAGAATGATCAAAAATAATGTTCTAACTTTAGATGATCCTGAATGCACATCCTCGACTGAGTTCTGAGGAGGAAAAGTTCATGGAGTGTGTGAAAATGTGAGTTTCTGTCATCACTGCTGCAACACAGTTAGTAATAAGATGCAAATCCAAACCAAAAACAGGAACAAGAAATGAGGAAAGACAAATGGACGGACAAGTGGGAAAAGCACAGGGTTTAAATACACGAGAGACTTTGTGAATCACATCAGGGCGGGACAAACAGTCAATGAGACAGGAAGGAGGACTCAGAAAACACAGAACAACAGAAGAGGAAACAAAATAAATTAAAAGTACAAATTCAGTCCACACCATGACATTTTGAGCCATGGAGGTGAAACAGACTAAAAAGCGTGTGTTAAAATATGATGTGATCAAAAAATATCCTTTTGACATTCTCAGTTTTCGGAGTGTTGTTTGTTGGGGCGTGGTCATGATTGTGTTATTCTTATGCTTGTCTTCACATGATGGAAAAGTGAACAGAATGTTGTGGTTTTACGACAAAACGTGACGTTGAGCTTCATCTAAAAGTGTAAAATTACCTTTGAAGAGGACACACGTCTCTGCGTGTCTTGATTTCTCTTTGATATTTGTTTATTGTGCTTAAAGCCTTTCTAGAGACGGACATTAGTCTTGGCTATAAATGTTGTAGTGTTTCATAAAGTGATTGTGTGCACTTGTCCCTGTCATAAATGAATACTTAAAATACATATGTACAGTGCCTTGCGAAAGTATTCGGCCCCCTTGAACCTTTCAAAATTTTGCCACATTTCAGTCTTCAAACATAAAGATATAAAATTATAATTTTTTTGTCATGAATCAACAAGTGGGACACAATCGTGAAGTGGAACGAAATCTATTGGATAATTTAAACTTTTAAAAAAA